CTGTAATGGACAGAACATGATCTTCCAGAGTCCAAATCTAGGCCAGGGCAGACAGCAGGAGCCTCCTGGCACAACTGCTATGAATATGTTCACCACGGTTTCCATCTAACTTTGTTACCCAGAGTAGCTGAAATCAGACAAAGCCTCTTAATTTTAAAACAGCCACCTTCTACTATCAATCGCATTTAGTAGACGGGATTACATAGATATTGTCAAATCTTTCATATTAACGATTAATTAGATTTAATGATAATGTTAATTCAAAATCCAATATAACCGGTTTCTTGCTCAATGCAAATTGATAAGCACAAGCATTTTTATTTCGCCTTGACAAATACAGTTACACTGGTTGTCGAACTGGTAAAAAATATATCTTTACATTCATCATGTATATCATTAAACACTGTTGGTGATTATATTGCTATAATCAGCACAAATATCTTCAAATTTGTGATTTTACACCTACTGTTAATTTAGATAAATAGAGAGAACACTCTCACCCTCAATGTTTCTGTGGTTAAGAGTTTTTTAGAAGTTCCACCTCCTGCTTGTATCCTCTTCATACTCCTGCTGTTTGCCTTATCCCAGGTCTGCTGTCGCCAAACTTATTTGCTTTACAGCTATGAGTTCTCCAAGGCTTGTTAGGCCGCCACCACACTATAATAAAGAAAGCACACGTGTACTGAGTGTATTGTATGATATTATAACTATACAAAGTAAATGGAGTTGATGATCAGATTGACCAATCAAACTGGGAAAAAAAGGCCACACTTTACGGTTTCACACACGGGCACATCAAAATCGAAAGTTACATTAATAGTTACAACAACAAGACTCTACAATTGCATAAGCATGGCCTTGAAAAAATTAAAGACTAAAAAAACACAAATTTGAAAGAGCAGCAATCTTGTTTGTATATCTGCAACTTCTTTTTCTTGAGTGTATCTTTTTCAGATTTATAGAGCAGGTTTACTTACCTACTGAGACGCCATTGCTATTAACGTTTGAGTGTTTAACTTTGTTATTTGTCTTCTTACAATATCCATGTACACATGTATAAGCTAGGAATGATCAAAGTGCCAAGCTCTTAATCCTCTGTTGTATACTAATGTGTTATATATATATATATATTTATAAAAGTACAAAATAACGTTACAAAGAAGTACAAATACGACTATCCATATAGATATGAAAATAAAGATGTTATGAAAATAGATAGCTGATGAAATTTCATGGTCATTTTATAAGTCCTGACGAAGAGAGATATTGAGCTCGCATATTTCGCATTTTTCTGCATATATTTTATATATATGTGTGTTGTATATACTATAACGCCAGCCATCACCGAATGCGCGCGACCCAGCAGGTTTCCCCTTCTTCCATGCGACGGGCGCGCGCGAGAACGGAGGAGGAACTGGAGGGCCGTTTTGTCCTGCCTGATTGCTGCCAACCTGACGAGGATGTGAGTCACTCAGCTTGCTGCCTCGCCGGGGGAACTCTGGCTACCGACAACGTGCAAGATTATTTGTGAACATGTGCCATAATGGCGCCCAATAGGTGGGTGGCGCAAGTACTTCCCCGAAAGCCAGTGGGAACTGCAGCGCTGGACTGCGATGTGAATATAATCGTTGTTTCGTATTAGATTTAAAAGGAATTCCTTTTACTCTAGCGTTTCTAGGTTTATTTTTCAGTTAATTTAGCTGTAAATTACGCCTACATAAAAAAGTTTCATGTTCAATCACCATTCGATTTTTTTTTATAAGCGACTAGCTTTAATTAGGAACGATGCCACTCAAAGCGGCACGATCGAAAGTTGCCGCACAAAGTGACTTTTCAAGCCACAGGGCCTACAGACCGAGGGTGTTTCTTATTTGTTTTACGATTTAAAAGCAACAAGGGATTTGTAAATATCTTCGATAAACGACATATTAGTTTCAGTTATATTATGGATAAATTTGTCTAAAAATGAACATTGCTTTAGGCTTAAATAGCATTTAAAGGTATAAATATAATTGCACCTTTTGTGATTAGCCTCGAAT